TACAGCTAGACAGTTTTTAAATAGAATTCTCACTTCATAAGGGTAAGGAAAATATGAATAGGTAGATAAGGTAGTAGCTGATTTTTTCTATTTATTTATTTTTGCTAGGCAGAGTCCAACTGCTAGAAGATGTTTAGAAGAAAGATTTCCCTTTGGGTAGAATATTCCTTTGTGGGATTTCTTCATACCTTATGGAGCTTCTCTATGATGCTGTTGCAGGAACCTTATTATTTACTGCCTTGGAGATCCTATTGAATGCATTTCTGTAAAGTAGATGTAAAGAAAAATTACAAAAAAGTTGCAGCAGTTTGCTCTTACTTCAGTCAATGGCAGGGGTTCTCACAAGCTGCAGAGAATCAAGTCTTGGATCTCAAATTAGAGGCACCTGTGTCATGATCTCCTATGATAATCTGATATAAGTGAAAATAAAAAGTCAAAACTGAAAAATACACTAATAACACAATAGCAGTGTATATTTGACCCACTGGCAAAAGCATAGCTGGTAGACCTGTCAGTATTAGTGGTAACGTGCTGACATGTGTTTGCAAATTGATTTCTACAATTTAGCAGGAACTTTAGAAAGCTTGAGGCTGAAAACATTGGCTTAAAATCTGTTTATAATCTAAGTTCTTCTGTGATTCTTTGGATTTTATTTAAAGATGTATTAAAACAAAGAAACATTTAAGCAGATAATTACTAGTATTATTATAAATAATTTCTTGATTTTTCTGAATTATATGGTACTTAGTGTTCGCATGCAGTATACATGTATTTTGTGTTTGGCTGGGATCCTGTTACTATCAGAAATCTTTTTCTCAATGTCTTCAAGGCCTTGGCTTTATACTAATAAAGCTGAGGTAGTGTTGGAGCAGCCATATAAATCCAGAAATTTAACATTGTATTAAACAGGTAGTTTCAGCCTTTTGTTTTTGCAGCACTATATTTTCAGAAGGTGATAAATCTATCTTCAGTCATTCATTCCATCTGGAAAAAAAACGCCAAAAATCTAGAATCAAGTCATTGAAATGTTTCTCTTGATAAACAAAATACAGTATTCAGGAAAAGAACAGGTCTGTTAGAGATAATTTGGAAAGAAATACGAGAAGAAACTACTTTAAAAATTTGTTAGTGGGTCTACAAAAATTAAGTGACTTGAGCATGAATTGTATGGTTGTTTATTATTATTATTATTATTATTATTATTATTATTATTATTATTATTATTATTATTATTATTATTATTATTATTATTATTATATTTGTAATTCATATTTAACCACTCCTTTCTAAATTAGATACCAGTCATTTCATTTAGTGTATAAGAAAAGGGTTATTCCACTGAATCACGTTCTCCAAAGCAATCTCAGACTACCTTAGAAAGCAACAGGTAGTTCACTGAATCTCATAAATTCTACTGTGGGATTTAATTTAAGTTACTGCATTCTTAACAGGTGGTAAAGATAAACTTATTTCTTAAAGTATGGTGACGTTGGTAGTAGGGTGATGGTTGAAACAGATGATTTGAAGATCTTTTCCAACCTTAATGATTCTATTATTCTATGAAAAGAAACTGGATCCAGACAGCAAATCATAGCCTGTTAATTTGTTTTGTCTTTCTCATTAGACATTTAAAACAGTCCCTTTCTTTTCATGGATCTCAAAGGAAGTGTCAGGAAATTTTTATTTTTTTTTCCCCAGGAAGTTTATACTATGCAATTGTTACTTTGTAGAAAGCTTCTGCTTCAGTGATGTTCAGCTTGAATTTAAACACAGTTTACTCATTAGTCAGTCCAATCCATTTCCAAACCAGGTTTAGCACATACTGAATGAAAGGCATATGTTTAATTTTATTTTTTTTTCATTAAATACTGTGCCTTGACTAATGTAGTTTAATCCTAAATTATAAATTTTAAAATTTCTGGGAAATAAGAAGACTGTCCTGTGGATTGATATTTCTTTTACACCATGGACTGTATGCAGTTTTTCTTTGTTTCTTTGCTCTTGTGCTTGCCTCATTAAAAGATATTCATGTACTTTTCAGTTTTAACAGCAGTGAAAATAGGCTTAATTTCACCTCTAGGTCCCCTACAGAGTAGTTTATCTGAGCAGCACTGCATGTTATCCTTCCTGATGTTTGTGATTTCTTTCAGAACAGTAGAATCAAAACAAACTTTGCACAATCTTTATTGAATATAATTTATGCACATAGCCAGCAAAGAAAAATAAATGCAAATATGATCTAAATTCTAGTTGCACCCTTGCCTTAAGCTATTTCATTGAATTGCATCAATTGTGGTATTTTTCTTTTACATGTTTCTAACTTAGAGACACTATGATTCTGCTAATCTGACTGAATACGACTTGCCTGCAGAGTTAGCTAGACATTTACTATAAAATAAGCATGGTCTAATGATCAGAATCTGCTTGGGCAAAATGTAAAGACGAGAAGGCACTTTTTTTTTTTCTCTTGTATTTGCCTATGCTAGAACCTTGTTTCATACAATAACTTCCACATAACTTTCCAGAGCCTGCATTCCTGCATTCCTCAACTAACAGAGTAGAAGAAGAATTTACTGCTGGTAATACTTAAATCTTGTACAGATCATCAGCTGATTGGTGTTAAGGAGAGCACAGAAGGATGTGACAATTGATGTATCTGATTCATGGGACCACGCATCTTCTAGGAGGAGACAGTGTTATAAGCAAAATATAGTTAGCTTCTCAGTGCTCACTGAGAGAAACTGGTTCTTGATAGTAAAGGTGAGGATTCTGGAGAATTATTTTTTAGCTGAACAATGGCTTTTTCTCAATGTCTTGTTCTGAAATATCTTCATAGTTTTATTCTGAATTTTAACTTCAAATTCTTTTAGTTATATTTTATCTGCTAATGTAGGAGTAGGAAAACAGGCTATGTTTAGTAAGACTAGCTCAGTGACATTTATTTTCAGGGTTAAGGATATAATCCCTACTCTATAGGCTATAAATGAATTGGTAATTCACTGACAGGAAATTCAAGGAATCGAGAATAACCAGTAGTAAAGACATTTGAAAAGTTAGATGTTACAATTTATACATCCAGAATAGTGGCTAGTTTGGATTTTTTTTCTTTCTTTTTTTTTTTTTTAAAAAAAAAAATAAGTCAAACCACAGTGTTTGTGTCTGTGGGGTGTTATTTAGCTGTTGATTACATGATCCAACTTATTCCAAAAATCGGCATGGGTTAGCAAACTTCAATGAACACTGCTTGCTTCCATGCGTGATTGCTGTTTTCTTAAGTCCACTCTCCACCTCTGTTCTAACATGGTTTAGTTTTCAAGTCTTGTCTATGAACACATTGGAAAACTAAAAAAATAATGCTCATATTGGTGGGAATGCTGGTGTAGGCAGGCTGCTGTTGTTTTTCCTTTCATGTTTTCTTTTCTGATGAGTCCATGGAAGTTATACAGGTATGAGGAACTATCTTATTCTGGTACAACTATAGTATGGGCATTGCTTCTAACATTGTGTAGATGCAGCCAAGATGAAGACAAACAGTTAAAGAATGGGGACTTTAAAAAGCACTGAAAGGTAACTAGCAAATGTTTCACTAGGACAAATACTTGGATAGGAGACTCTGAGGGAAAACAACAGTCTTTCATTGAATTAACCTGGTCTAAGACCTCTGCATAAGCATGGGAAAGATTTTTCTGCTATACCTCAAGACGCTGGAAAGCTTAATGAGTGCTTCTTGTCCAAACTAATTTGAGCCAATTTGCGTTAACATTGTAAATGCTTCAACACAGTTCTAAGCCAATGCTTAAGCCAGGAGAAACTTAGTGGGCTTTGGTGGAATTCTCCTCCTAAATTGAAAAACATATCTTTGACACAAAACCATATAAGTAAACTCTCATTTATTAGGTGAATATCACAAAGTGCCAGGGTTCAGACCATCTGGGTCACAACAACATTTTTTTCCTTTTACCTGATACCTAACAAATGTCCTATAAGAAACATGTTATCATATGAAGAACACGAATTACCTGTGTTTCTGTCATTTTGAACACCTTAAAAATTCCTTCTGTTTCAACCTTGTCATCTTTTTGTCTTTTTAGATTTACACTCTATTTTTTTCTCTGCCTCTAATTATTGGCTAGTTTAGTAATCTTACCATGCATACATGTAAATAAGATAAAATATTACATATTAAAATATTACATGTTTTTCTTTAATAAATACCTTATACTGTCCATCTCCTTTATTACTAGATCTGTCATACTACTGTAAGATAGTTTTTATGACACTGTTTATACAAAATTGTTTGTTGCAGAATAAGGCACCACTAAACCACAGTTACTTCAGCAAAGTCTCTGAATTAACTGAACTCCTTACTAGGGAGATCTTGAGGTAAAGGTTCACAAGTGATCTCCCATGTTATCATCTCCGTTCTGCTCCTGCTGCAGGCTACGTATTCTTCAGAAATTTAAAAAGCGTTGTCTTTAAACTAATTCTACTTTTGGCTTCCTCCTCTTTCCAGTCCCAACAAATCTGACAGTACATTGATCATTTTTAAAGATGGATATTGGGATATCAGATGTATGTTTTTAGGTATAGGAATAAACCATGAAGTCATACACTTCCAGCACTTTTACCATTTATTTTCAGTCTTGCTTAACTGTTTTGCAAAGAGCATCATCTTTCCCTAAACAGATCTTTCATGGAGAAGATAATCCCACAGAAGAAATAAATGTTGTGGAATGCCGTTTTCACATAAGTTGAAATATGTATTAAAAATGTCTGCTGGACAAAATCTGAAAACCAACTTTTTTACTTTATTTTCCAGGTAGATGGGTTCTGGATTCTGACACTGGCTGTACCCCATGTATTACGTGCATGCTTTGGGGTCTAATAACAATGAAAGCAGGAAGTTTGTGTGAAATCAAAATTATCAGCTAGTAACAGTTGTTCATGCAAATTGTTTCTTCTTTCCAGTTCTGACACACTGTTTTCCTTTTTTATTGCAGTTTTCCACTTGTCCCACAAAGTCACTCGGGTGGTTCCAGAGAGTGCTCTGCTGATTGTTCTTGGTATCGCCCTTGGTGGCATTGTATGGGCAGCAGACCACATTGCCTCTTTTACCCTTACACCTGAGGTATTTTTCTTCTATCTGCTGCCCCCCATTGTTCTGGATGCTGGATATTTTATGCCAAATAGGTTGTTCTTTGGAAATCTTGGTTCCATCCTTTTGTATGCTGTCATTGGGACAGTCTGGAATGCTGCCACAACTGGTTTATCCCTCTACGGTGTCTATCAGACAGGAATAATGGGTAAGTCTGATCTGTTAAGGTACAACTGTGAATATTTATGTATACCAGCTGTTACAATAGTTTGATACCTTGCAATTTATCGACTCTTTTTAGAAGAAAAATCCAATTATTACTGGAGCAATTTGTAATCTTTTTTTTTTTTTTTTTAACCAAATTTCAGAATAATCTGAGATTTCTTCTCTGAAACGATAACTGAAGGGACTTGAACCTGTCTCTCTCACATTTCCCTGCTCTGAATGTCAGCATAGACTCTCAGGATCAAGCTCAGGATTCATCCTCCTAATGGGTGTCCGGACAAAAATATACCCTGAGGGGCTTGTTTCTTTCTGCTGTGGTAGAAACCTTCAAAGTTACTGTGAAATTGAAATGTCTTTTGTCATTCAGATCTAATATTAAGGAAGCACTGGTTGCTGAATGTATATGTATGCATGTCATCTCTATTTGGTATTCTGAGGCTAGAAACAAAGACTTACAGAGCCAAGTAAGATGCATGTAAGATACATTCTGTCTCAATTGTACTACAGAATATAAGGGCATAGAGAGGCCAGAAGAGGCACAGAAGCGTAATTCTTATTCACTTCAGCAGATGTGACATGCACATTAGCTACATACTGCCACTTCAAACAGCAATAACTAACATATGTGTTTTGCATGTGTTTTGAAATAGGCATCCTATGTATGGTTTGTTTGTTTTTTAGTTTCTGTACAGAAGAGGCTCAAGAGCCCTTCCAAGACAAAATGCTCTTAGGTCAGTGAGTTCCTGAACGTACTTACAGAATACAGAATACTTACAGAGTGTTGCCAAGAGCAGCATAAATATAGTGCTCCTGTGCCTGTGCATTTTGCTCATCTGTTCTTGGCAACCAGTTCTGAGATCCTAGACTGAGAGAGTGGCCCCAAGATGTCAAGGTGTGTGTTTTATTATATGACAGGCTCAACAACCAATCATGGAGCTACTCTCTAACCACAACTGTGTAAAAATGATTCCGTGCCTTAAATGTTAGAGGTTGCAGATGTTGCAGAGAAGAACATTCAGTCATGAAGAACAAAGATATTATTGGATTATTATAGAAGAAAATAGTAGAGTTTTGCCCCACTTTCCAGCCTGAAAAACTGCCCCTAGCATCAAGCACAGGGAGCAAAATTTGGGGCTGGCGTCTTTGAGCATACAATTGGGATATCTTGTCCTTATTTGAAAAATCTCTGTCTGGAAGAACTAGACCATAAATCTGGTCACGTGAGATTCCTCTTATTTAACCCTAGACTTTATATCAACATCTATGATAGAGTTACAATACATTTTAGATATTTACCTTACTTCAAGATGAGTCATGTTTTATAATTAATAAATTTTCTTTAGAAGAATCAAAGGTGACTGCAGACACTATTGACGTCTATGGGTAGGTAAGCTGTTTTTAGGCATTTTCAGCCTGTAGGTGCAATATTTTACACCCACAATTTCACATTTATTGTTAAATACAGGTTTGGAGAAATGATTAAAATGACAATGGGAAATGGAAAAGATATTTTATGTAAATATAATATGTGTATATATATAATAAGTATATATATAATAAACATAAACTTCAACATTAAGCAAAGGGTACAGTATTAAATACTGGCATAATTTTCCACATAGTAGTGCTTGATATTGCAAGATATTTGACAAGGATTTCTTTCTTTAAAATCAAAGCTAGCTTCTGTTTTGGCAGAGTCATGTAACAATTAAAAAATATCACCAACATATTTTTATTAACATTCTGTTATGGAAAATAGAATGAATGATAATTACTTTAAAAGAAAAAAAAAAGTCAATAAAAGTCATGAAAGGAAAAACACAGAGCTCTGTATGATGTGTGAAATAAAAAAGTCAAGTGTTTCTCTGAAAATTGTATTTGAAATGAAAAACTCATTTAACTCTTTGCTCTCTTCCCAGTCCTTAAACAATTCTGGAGTAAATATATAAGCTGTATTTGATGGTTACATATTGTGCTTCTTCATTATGCAAGTCTTTCAATGACAAAACTGAAACTATACTAGAAGTAGTACTAATACTTTTGTTAATAGTTCTAATATTAGAATTAGTTTTAATAGTAGAAATCTGAATTTACAGTTAAACAGAGAATCCAGTGCCCACCACAGGTCAGACAGATGAAGGTCTACAAATCAAATGTAGAGGTTGTTAATCAAGGTAGACTATAAACTGACATGACTCACAAATTCAAAAGTTTAGAATAAGTGTTAATTGATATATTATCACAACATGTCTTACCAACAAGATACGCCATAACCTACTAGATTTCTAATTTCTGTTATAAAAAAGTCTGTCCTTAATTTAAACTGTGTCATTCTCTGTCAAAAATAAGTAGGTCTTCAAAATATCTCCATGACACAAACTTACTAATCCACTAAATGTTTTGTGTTGGCCTCCAAGACGTCAGCAAGATCTGAGCACCACACTCTGAAAAGTCTTGCTGTTTTTACTTGTATGATGAAGATAGGGGAATTCCGAGTTGCTAATTTTTTAGGAGAGTTCATAGTAGACTGTGGTTGCTTTTCTAAGAAATACTGTTTCTACACCACTTCTCCTATAACTGGAGTGTATAATATTAAAAGTAATATCTTTAATATGTCGGAATGTGTAACCACTATAGACTAAGAGGTACTGAAAAAAAATACTATCAACTTTACCATGAATTGGCATGTAATCTTTTACTGACCATCAATTTGGGAGTGGTTGGTCCAAATTCAATTACATAGATTTCTTACATAAACAAGTACAAAAACAGCTCTTAGTTTGCATTCAGCCTCCTTACAGACACTATAATTTACAGAAGAGAAAGAGAGAAGGTGATAACAAAGAAATTCTTCCTTAGAAGTGAAATAAAAAGTTCAACACCTTAACTATTAATCAACAGCCATACTAGTCTGCTTTCACAGGATACAAAGAAGAATCTAATACTAAATCTTATGGTTGATTGCACTTCTCTATCTGCTGTAAAACTAACACATGCAGCATTACTATAGAACTGGAATAATTGTGGTTGAGACTAATGCTTAGAATTCTTTTTTCCCTGTACAATCTAGGTCATCACAGCAATGTGCTGAGCATGTGTGGGAGTCTTAAATTGGGCACAGCAAACTTAACTTGCTCAGGTGTCAGTGTTGGCAGCTAGTTACTCCAGACTCCAGTGATCTGGAGGAAGAAATGGCCATGTATCACTTGTAGATAACTTTTATTATTAATCTAATTACAAGTCTCATTTAGCAACCCCATGCTTCTTGACACTGTTTTGTAGGAGTTATAGATGTGTCCCAACTTCTCCATAAATATTTGCTTTCTAGCTTTGCAGCTCTTCAAAGAATGTACCAATGATTATAATTGGTAACGTATAAAAAAGATAAGCAATCTCAGTGAGCCAATTTATTTTAAAAGCTTATGTTCTATTGTACCCTGACACCTGATTGTTATAGTCATTGGGCTTGTCCTTCCTTAAGCATGGCAGAAAAGGACAATGCTTGATGGAATCCTTATTTAGGTTTAGGTTCAAGGCTGTTCTCAGAAATTTTGGCACAGATTTCATCTCACTCCTTCAACTACCCTCTCACACACAAAAAAATGGAAAGATTCATTCCTCGTTCTCAGCCCCATACGTCCAAACGTGAACAAGACTATCTCTGTTTTTGAAAATACTGAGTAGTTATATGTCTGTGCAAACTGTGCGTTTTTCTTTTCAGTGCCTTCAGTCCCTGAGAGAATATGTTTTTCTGCAGCTCCCCCAGATTATTGCCTATTATTGTGTATCACGGGGCGTTCTCTATTCCTATCTCTGGCTTCCCATGTCCTTCTCTTGAGTAAATACGCTTATGCATTTAGTAACAAAAATATTTGGAATCAAGTTTCTCCTCCAATTACTTTCCAAAGACTAAACATTCTGAAAAACTATCTTGTAAGAGTTCCTACTAAGGGCGTGGCCATGTTGTTCTGGAAATACTTTTCAGGCAATTCTAATCTTTTGTCTAAGGCTATTGGTTGTTCATTGCCTGACTCATTCTTCCAAATAATTTTATCAGATGAATTTATTCCCAAACTTTATAAATCATGCATGATACAACTGTCTATTAACTTTAGTTGTGGGCCTCTGTACTGTGTTCACATGAATGAAATCTGAACATATTCCTTTTTTGTTCTTTCTCATATAATTTTGGACTTCATCACCTCTTAGTGAACCTTATTTCTCCCTCCATCCACTAATGAACACAGAAGATTTTTTCCTGTTCTCTACCCTTCAAGAAATCTGTTCCTCAGATAAAAAGGACTGAGATCTCACCTTTGATTGTGTGAAGACAGTAAATTTTGCAAGACCTATAAGCAGTTGTGCAAAGCTGTCTTTGTAGCTTTCCCTTTCCGGTTACTTTTAAAGTGATAGTGATGCATGCCTCATTCTGTTTGCATATATTGCCTGCTTCCATAGCTGACCAAATTAACCTTAATAACTAAAGATTAAAAAAAATAGTAAATACTGTATTCCTTTGTCACCAGATCCTTGCAGTTCCAAAACCTTTGAGATCATTGCCAAAAAACACCTTTTGAAATTTCTCATAAGCTAAAACACACACATACTGAGATTATACATTTTAGTTATTCATCTATTTCTATGGTCCACTTGTACACAATTTAATAATGGCCTCATGGATCATAATTTGGGGAAAGCTGGTTCAACTGCAGCTATCAATACATGTATATTTGACTAAGGAAGCCAGAAGTGCTGCTTAATTGCATTGAGTGTATTTCTTAGTGTAGCAGTCAGCGAGCAAGAGTAAATTTGGCCTGAAGTGGCATAAAGTATTTTAGAAGATTTACTTCAGGAATACTGGTATATTCTTCTAGCCACCTTTTCAGTTCTCAGTTATACTAAGATAATTTACTTAAATTAGATAAAAAATATGGCACATAAATACAACATCAGTGTAGATCTGGAAACACTTATTTCAGGTGCCTTGCCATAATAGGGCTGTATTAGTTCCAGAATCAACTCTGAGCGAGATGAGACGATTCTGGATCCAACAAATCTTGTAGAACACAAGGTAACACCATGATGGACATGTTAAGTAGTGTCTATACCACTCTGTGCCTTAGTATATTCAAGGATTTTGCATTATCTGTAATATAACAGTCTGTCATTACTTCATTACTACAGATAATGAAGAGCTGACTCTGCTTATACTTTGCTTACTTTGTTTTTGAAGGCAACCTGGGGAGTGGACTGCTGGACTTCCTTCTGTTTGGCAGCTTAATTGCAGCTGTGGATCCTGTAGCAGTTCTGGCAGTGTTTGAAGAAGTCCATGTCAATGAAGTTCTATTCATCATTGTTTTTGGAGAATCTCTTCTGAATGATGCTGTAACTGTGGTAAGTAAATTAATATATCCCAGCATCACCCTAACTCTACAGCATTTGTTTGTTTGTTTGTTTTTTACTCTGAAGTGTGTATCTATTCATGGGCTAGTCTAGCCTAGTTCATGTTGTTCTCTGTCTTGCTTACAAATATGGTATTGCAGAGATTTTATATTCAAACGTGAAAGCTATTTGGAGCCTGTAAGCCACATAATAAGAATATTCCTTCATAATGTTCTTCATAATAAGAACATTGGGAGCCTCTAAGTCACGTTCTTGGGTTAGATGAGTACAATAAAATTTAAAACCAGATTTTAGGTATGTATGTTTTTTTGCCTTTCCTGTTTTAAGTATGGCTTTCATGATTTATCAAAATTATCTCTAGGGATTTTTTAAAAATATAAATAGTCTTTTGCCTATTTTCTTTATGTCCATTAATCATGTGCATACCTTATATATGGATTTGGGAGAAGTGCTTGTGCCTGTTCCTTCTCTTTTACTCCAGTCAGGTGATTATCAAACAGATTAATAACAAAGACACAGTTTGGGGGAAATGGTGAGACATTTCAGAAAGTTTCAGGTTTGTTTTGTTTTGGTTACATGTTAGTTTCTGCTTTGTTTGTTTGTTTTTCCTTTTAGAGAGAAAAGAAAAATAAACTTAAAACAATCCCAAATTTTTACTCATGTTTTTATTTTGATTGAAATACCTTTTCATGTAATTTTTTTCTCAGAATAAATAGCAGCTGGTTCTGTAGTACAATCTTAGTGGACAGGGGATCAGTAAGTCTGATGGCAGAAAGCTGCTGTAAAATTGAGTTGTTATACACCTTTAGCTCTCTTCTTGCTTCATCTCCTATCCTTTCTCCTGTATATCTCCGGAGGAAGATACTATATGTCCACCAGTCTCAGTGACTTAATTTTTTGCGTCCCAGGCGCTGCAACATCACTGACAGCAGCCTGACAATTAACCAGAGTTTGAAAATGTCATTTGGGGCCTCCAGAAAAAAAAATAATTGCCTTTAGATATCAGTGTCATTAGCACTTTGCAGGTATTTCCAGAAACAAATATTAAAATAAACTCTTGATGAACTGATACATCAATATCATTTGTTTTCAGAAGGAAATGAGTTTTTGCCACTGTGAAATGAATAAAAACAGTAACTCTATAAATAATAAAAAATGTTTGATTGCTTGTTGAAAAGATTGCAGAAGAGAACAGTAAGCAAGAACAAGAGAAAGCATAGCCTATGAGAAAGTTTGAAACAATTAGCATTGTCTACATTGAATAAGAGAATATTGGAGGATAGAAAAAAGTGATCATGTGGCACTTTTTAAACTTAAATATGTTGTAGACAGTTGTCACAGAAGAAAAAAGCATGAATAAATGTGAAAGAAATGGTAAATATGGTAAGAATTAATGAGTTTAGCTGCAACAACAAAAGGTGAGAAAGCCACAGAAAGTACTCTATCACTGAAGGTCTTTAAGAATAAGATAGACAGGCACCTGTCAGGAATGATGCTCATACAAACTTCTTCAGGCAGGGAATGGATGACTTCTTTACTTTCAGCACTACCAATTTTTGAAAAGCTTTAATAGAATTATTATAGTTTATTCTCTTTTATGTTCAACATATTTCTTTTATCTTCAACATATTTTGTGTATGTTAAACTGACTGCAGTCCAGTATCTTATTAACATCTTATTAATAATATCTTGTTAACTGCTGCCTTGGACTTCCCAAGGACAGATTTTGAATTGTTCAGGACACTAGCAGGTTCAACAGAACCAAGTGCCGGGTCTGCCGGTCCTGCACTTTGGTCACAACAACCCCATGCAATGCTACAGGCTTGGGGCAGAGTGAATGGAAAGCTGTGCAGAGGAAAAGGAATTGGAGGGTGTTGGGTGATGCTTGGCTGAACATGAGCCAGCAGTGTGCCCAGGTGGCCAAGACCAACAGCATCATGGCTTGGATCAGGAATAGTGTAGCCAGCAGGACAAGGGAGGTGATCGTCCCCCTGTACTCTTCTCTGCTCTGCTCTTGAGTCCTGTGTTCAGCTTTGGGCCCCTCTCTACAAGAAGGATGTTGAGGCCCTGGAACATGCCCAGAGAAGGGCCTGGAACACAAGTCTTGTGAGGAGCAGCTGAGGGATTGTTTAGTCTGGAGAAGAGAAGGGTCAGGAGAGACCTTATTGGCTCTCTACAACCACCTGAAAGGAAGCTGTGGGGAGCTGAGGGTCAGCTTCTTCTCGCACATAACTAGCGATAGAAGGAATGGGCTAAAGTTGTGCCGGGGAGGTTTAGGTTGGAAATTAGGAGAAAAGTCTTCTCAGAAAGAGTAGTTAGGCATTGGAATGGGTTGCCCAGGGAAGCACTGGAGTCACCATCACTGGGGGTTTTTAAGGATAGGTTGGAGGTGGTACTTAGGGTCACAATTTGGTGGACATAATATTGGTGGTAGGGTGATGGTTGGACCAGATAATCTTAAAGGTCTTTTCCAACCTTAACAATTCTATGATTCTGTGATTCTATGATTGTTATAATCTCACTATCTTATTTATCTAATGCAGGCAATAAATAAATAAAAAAAGTCTTCTGCCAAACACTTGAATTTTAGAATGAGAAGTGCCTTAGAAAACCCACAGGCACATAGATGTAACAATACTTCTAAAATATAAAAATTCTATTTAAATAAGAAATGTTGTGTTGGGATTTTTGTTTCTTTCTGTTCTCCTGCATCTTTTCCATTTTGCAAAATTAAAAAAATCTGCAAAATCTCTTTCCACACAAAATTTCCCTCAGTCTTACATAATTTCAGAATTCATAATGATGGGGCCCATAATGAGATGTTTTTAATAGGATTAATTCAGGCACAAATACTAAGTCAGTCTACTTTTCTTTTCAGGTGCTGTATAATGTGTTTGAAACTTTTGTTCGACTAGGACCAGAGAAAGTGACGGGGATTGAATGTGTCAAAGGCGTAGGTGTGTAGAATTGAATTCTGTATCATATCACTGATGTACATATGAAGACTTTTAAACCAAATATTATTATGTTATCAGAAACTGTTTTTTTTCAGCACTTACCCTTGCCACTTGCATTCCCATGTTCTTGTGGCATACATGAAGAAGATGAGAATGTAAGAAGAGATGTAAGAATATTTTCAGAAAATAAATAAGTGCACATTTGTGAAATTCAATCAGATTTGTTTTCTTCTGAAGAGAATTAACAGATGTGTAATTCAGCTCTTAAGACCATCAGACTTGAGAGATATTCATATTTTCTTTGTATTTTATAACATGTCCTTAGTTCCAGCCCACAACTTTTCTTCATTCTATGAAAGATGAGCTTGCATATATGCTTTCTTACTCCTCATCATAGCAATTACCATCAATTAATGTTTGCCAGTAGCTGTCAAGCAATGTTAGCTGCATAATTTTTTGTTACTCTTTCCAGTTCTAAGCATGACAAGATACTACATTATCTTACGAATTAATGTGCTAACAGAGACTTTGGCATACTCCATAACAAGCTTTTTGAAAAGCATTTGTTTATGGAACAGTGGGAAAAGAATTGTTCAAAGAAATTCAGTGGGGTTTGAATAAGCCTAAAATGATGAAACTAATAAATAAATAAACTTTTTTTTTTCTTTTCCTACAGGATGCTGAGAGTGCTCTGTTCCCCTACCGAGTACTCAAAAGAATTCATTTTGTTGCATTTTAGAAATTATTTTTGAAGTGTCCTCCAAAATTTTCTGATTTGCTGGCCTTACAATTGAAGAACTATTTCAAAACATTTTTTTTCTAATTATTATTATTATTTTTTTTTGTATTTCAGTGTCATTCTTTGTGGTGAGCCTGGGTGGGACACTGGTTGGCATTTTGTTTGCATTCCTGCTCTCATTGGTCAGCCGCTTCACCAAGCATGTTAGAATCATTGAACCTGGATTTGTGTTTATTATTTCCTACCTGTCCTACCTCACAGCAGAGATGCTTTCTCTTTCTGCTATCCTTGCGTAAGTCCCTTTTTATTGTTGTTTGTGAAGGGGCTAAGAAGGGAATATAGTTTCTATAAACAATAAAAGGAAAGACATAAATTATATAGGGTGGCTACAGAATGCAACACTTACAAAATTTATGCTAAATATTACTATCTTCACACTGCAGTAGATTATAGTTTGCAAATACCATAATTATTCATCTTCAAAAAGGAATGTAAATTTTCCAGTATTTGCTGTGCAACATGATAATATCTTTGTCAAAATATATATTTGATCCTTTCCTTTTTGTTGTTAATAATATTTCCATATTTAACAGTTGTCCATTCTCCATGATTTGTGTGTAAAACAGTGCTTTTCGAAGGCACTCTATGACAGACATTATCTGCTGCTTTCACTTTCTGGACTGTTCTCTTTAGGTCTGCCTAAACTTTGTTTTAGCTTGAGTACCTCTGTGTCATTGTAGATGTTCCAGTGAGTATACTCAATATTTGAAATTCCTACTGCAAACAGATAATTTAAGTTTCTAGCTAATGTAAACAAAAATTAAACTTTTGCATGTAAAACAGCATGGTGTCCTGAAAAACAGAAGAAACTGAGGTATTTTATGATCTAAAGAAATGCTGTCTTCAGACTTCTAAGGATCACCTCAGGATGAATATTTAAGATGTGCTTTTTAACCAGATTAGACAGTAGAATAGCCTCCAAATGTATTTTTCCTTAGAAATTAATGGTGAGTTTTTGTCACCACGTGACAGACTAGATAGAAATAATATTAATTGTTACAAGTATTTTATGAACTTTTTTTTTTTTTTTTCCCACTCCCTTCCCCCTCCAGGATAACTTTCTGTGGCATTTGCTGTCAGAAATACGTCAAGGCTAACATATCTGAACAATCTGCTACAACTGTAAGGTATACCATGAAAATGTTGGCCAGTGGAGCAGAAACGGTTATCTTCATGTTCCTAGGAATTTCAGCTGTAAATCCTGCTATCTGGACATGGAATACAGCTTTTATACTGTTGACTCTAGTATTCATCTCAGTATACAGAGTCATTGGTAAGGAGATGATCTTCTTCTTTGCCTTGCATTATATTGTTGATATATATTCTTTTGAAAAAAAAAAAAAAGTGTTTTGAGTTCTAGGTTTATATCTTTTAAAACATTCTATTCATTTCAGATGAATTATGGTTGTTGTCAAGTTAGGAAGGTAGATTTTTTACAGTAATCATATACATCATATGCTGGAAATAGAGTAGTATTTCACTTTTGTCAGGACATGAGAACCCAGTGGTTAACATTAATCACATAATGGCTAACTTTTATTGATGCAGCACACAGCATTGGCAAAATCTCCCAATGAAATGGACTTTGTTCTATAACTTACAGCCTATCAAAAAAAACTTGTGTCCCGTCCATCTCTTTTCTTCAGCTCCTTCAATTTGGTGATAAAGAGATTGTCTTAAGCTACTTTTATGGTTGACTTCAGGTTTGAGACACACAGTGATGTAAGACCATATACAATTACACAGAACGTTCTCTGGCTTAAGAAACAATTCTCAGTGACTGGTGAAAAGCTGAGTAAATAAGACTGTGGCATGTAGGGATTACTCCCTGTCAATGTACTGGGTTTATGTTTGAAATGTTTGCAAACATTTCAAAATACCAGTGATGATTTGCCTAACTATGTAGTTCTATAATTTAATCACTGTCTTGTGTAATAGTAAAGAGCTTAAAACAGCCAAAGAGGGATAGAATTAAGTACTTCTTGAGAGTGATTTTTTATTCTTTACATCACTATGTATTTTGTATATGTACTTACACCTAGGAAAAAAATAAACAGGTTAGTTTGGGTGTTTATCTTGAATACCTGACTTAAATTTAAATAAAATCTGAAGCATCTATCTAATTGACAGACTTCCTAGACTCTATATTTGTATTCTGGTTACAGACTCCTGGGCTGAATGAAAGGCTTAGCCCCATGGCCTCCTTTCTAAATAACTTGTAACCATTGTTAAATTAGCCAACACTCAGTAGCTGCAGATGTGTGCAAGGTGCTTAAAAATTTTCACTTTCTTAATTTTGTTATTTGTTGTATTTCTAGAATTAGTGGTTAACAATTCTGTAATAAGTGTGAGTGCTAATTAAACAGTAAATATTCAGCAATGACAATATGCATCCACAAAAGTAATTAAGCTTAGAGATTGATAAGTTACTAAAGACCTGATGATATTGGGCCTTACATAAATACAACTCTCATACCCTTAGAGGAGTCAGATTGGTGACACTGAATTCATTTTGAAGGTCCCCTTCACCACAGGCCTTACAACCTCAAAGTTCTCTGAAAACAGGATTACTTTTGCTCTGGCTAGCAGACCTGGCCTGCAGTAGTGCAATGCACATGCTGTACCACTCTCAGGAGTGGTGAAGCAGCTTTCCTTCTGTATGGTGGTTGCTCTGGGAGACATAGGGATTTCTAGAGCTTTAGGTCTCTTACAGCAGGCAGCATCTCACCTGAAGTCCTGAAGACAATGTCAAGCATGTGAATACAACCCTTCATAAAGCACTTTTTAGTATGATTTGTAAACAGTACCACATCTTGTCCCTAAATCAATGTTTTTTCAACATATTTCTTGTTTTGTTGAAATACCCTGTGTATATCATTTACTACAGTAATAGAAATTCTATTCCTTCTCAACTGTTAAGTTCAAAAGACAGCACATAGCAGAATTTCACTTCCAGTGCCCATTCCAGAGGAAGGAAAATTCTTGCCTCATACCAAAGGACAGCATTCAGCAGACATGACAGCGTTCTCAGAAGGGTTGCTGGATCAAAGTAGAAGATTCATCTAACTCCTTTGGCTAAATGTGAAGGGGAAGGTACCAGTGGACCTAGCCCTCTTGGCAGTGTTACAATGGAGAGGGAGATGTAGAAGGTGTAGAAAATTTATTATGAAATCAGATTGCTGGTTGTTTCTGTTACACATTGTTGAGATACTGACATTTCATAAGAGCATTTCTAGACACACTGGCATTTGTTTTTTGTAGGTGTAGTTATACAGACATGGATTCTTAACCACTACCGAATGGTCCAGTTGGAGATAATAGACCAGGTGGTGATGTCATATGGTGGACTACGTGGAGCAGGTTGCTTTTGCTCTGGCTGCGCTTCTGAAAGAAAATGAAGTGAAAGACAAAAACCTGTTTGTCAGCACAACTATCATTGTTGTGTTTTTTACTGTTATTTTCCAGGTAATTCAAATTCCTAAGCATGTTTCTTGCAAGGAAAAGGAGTCTATCAAAAGCACTGAATGCTTAGAACAGTTCCTAGCTGAAGGTTGTATATTGTTTCACTGAACTGGAAGCATAATTGACTTTGTAATTTTAGTAACAAAGATCCTATTTTATGTTTTCATACAGTACCACAAGAGACAAAAGACAATTTTCTCTGTGCTAAAAAAATGTTCAGTCTTAGATGATTGATATTAATAGTGCTCTTGTTAATATCTGATTAAGCATCCTTCACCTCATGTGAATAACTATAGGGAACAGTCCTTTTTACTGGCAAATACATTCAGTAAGTTGATCTACTGGAGCCTAAATCCTTGTTTTAAAACATAAAAGTAAGCAGTGGATTAAGAAAGTATTTAGCATTCAAAAAATAGTAACTTCTGGATGAAAAAACATGAACTTAAATGGAGATGTGTCACTACATACCTGCTTGGAAGTCTTCTCAAATTTATTAAAAAATTAATTGTGATCATAAACTACTGACGTGTAGAAAACACCGCATTCATTAGTATATGAATTTTTTTTTTCAGCTTTCCACTACATTATTTTTCTATATAGAAGATATGTTTGGAAAAACATATTATTGTCTTTTATATTAAAAACATATTATTGTCTGGTTATTGTCTTTTCAAGTCCTTGTAACATGAGCTGAAGATACTTCATTATTTTACCTCTGAATGGGAGAGTGATCAAATGGGAATGTATGAAAAATGCCATATACATGTACAAAACTGCTCTGTTTCTCTTTAACTCTGTGCAGCTGGAGTCTAAGGGAATTCTTAAGTATTATAATTTTCTTTGCCCAGGGATTGACAATCAAACCTTTGGTACAGTGGTTGAAAGTGAAGAAAACTGAACACAGAGAGCCAAAACTGAATGAGAAACTTCATGGCAGGGTAAGATCCTTGTAAATAATGTTGTGGTGTTCTTTGAGTTCTTACAGAATGCCTTAAGTGGAAAAAAAATAGAAAAAAAACTGGTTTTGGAAAGGAGGAGGCAATTATACTGAAATTTGAAGAGGAAAATCCTTCAAATTTTTCAAAAATGTTCATGTAGGCTGTAATATGTCTTGAGATTGAGTCCAGTGAGGGGATACCCTACTGAAGGTTCTGGTCTGGGGCTGACAGCACTGGGGAAACAGAGGTAATAATAGTCTTTTCATCTAAAAGAGTAGGACATTTGCTAGGATAAAGCATGTGGAAGTAAGTTTGTCTTAAATACTGTGTATTCATGGAAAAAAAAATGACTTTGCAGTGTGCATATGACAAATAATTCCAGATTAATGGTAATATTTTTTGTCTAACTTGAGTGGTGTGTGTACCTATATTTCTCTAACCTTTGAAAAGATTTTGAAACATAAGCCCAGGATCTCTTCCAATTCACTTTCACACAGCATTATAAAGTTATATTCAGTAAATGAAACCATAAATTTTCAATACTAATATAGATTTAAGGCTATAAGACTATAAGACATCTTGCATGATCTTCTTTGATTCATAAACTCTTTAGATCTATAAAGCTATGCCTTTATGAAGCATTTTAACACTTGTAGTATGTTAACACTTGTATAAGCTTCTAATCTTGTCTATTTTCAAGCCGAAGGTTACCTAAAGTGAATCAATAACATAGTAATGGACAGGTTTTTTGTTTGTTTGTTTGATTGATTGTTTTTGTTTTGTTTTGTTTTGTTTTGTTTTGTTTTCCTGAGGAATGCTTTTAAAAACTACCGAATAACTGTGTTACACTTTTGCTATCCAGCAGAAAAGCTGTTTACAAACTGGGTATTTATCCAGAAATACAATTTTGATATTTAACTACTTAAAAGTCAGGATTCTACCCCCAAGAATACAATTTATCTGCTTTCATGGGATATACCTTTACATCTCCATGAGTAGAATAGGCTGAAGAGTAACATTAATCCTACCACATCATCTCAGGAGGTACAGCGCTTCTAGAGTTGTATATGTTGCAGCCTTTAGAGAGAGAGAGCACTGTCCATTCTCAGAGCATATGAGGGAGGCACATAATTTACAATGTCATTTTCACCACTTTCATGTCAGATGTCTTCTGAAACAGTAGTTAGTATTATATTCAGGAATAATCCATATTACACATTCTAAAACCAGTGTGCTGTAGATTTTGTAGTAAGTCCAGTATTCAGAGTGAAATGTTAACAACTGTATAAAGAAAAAGATCAAATTCTACCTGCAGCTGCCTTGACTTGAATCAAAAGATATAAACCTCAGGATTGCTATCAGCCATGTGATAAAAAAATCCAGTATGGGATTTTGCCCTGGATATCAAAAAAATGACTCCTACTCCTACTGTCATGGAAGTACAGATGTTGAAAAGTCTAAAAAGAAACACTAAGGAAAGTTTTCAACTGACTTAATCCTCAGCACTAATAATAGCTCATTATTTTACAGGGCAGAAGTGGAGATGGTAAAATGGGTTGATAAAGAGGCTTAAAGTTCAATGTTAATAAAGTAGAAACTCAAATAGCTTCTTACTAAGACCCTTGAAGTTAAGACTAGTTAATGAATTTGCAAAGAACTGATTAGAAAACTCAGGGCCTTTGAAGAAAGGCATATGGTAGTTAGCATTTCTCTAAATGGGGAAAAAAATCTGCTTAGCAGCAATAAAATTATTCTGCATAGACACCTGTTCTAACCTGACATATATTGAGATTTTTTCTCATTATGCCTTTCATTTTTTTTGTGATACGAATTCCACTTTTACTTTTCTAGGCTTTTGATCACATCCTTTCTGCTATAGAAGACATCTCTGGACAAATAGGACATAATTATCTAAGAGACAAGTAAGCAGTAAATAACTTGTAATGTTTGAAATACTGCTAGAAAATCTCTGTAAAATAGGGCTTTTTAAGCCAGTGAATTGAGGGACAGCAAACATGTCAAGTGTAGTTTAAAAGGTTATACACTGAAAACACAGCAGCTAACAAGAAAACACTATTTTCATCCCCTAAAACTGGAATCTTTTATTTCTCTGCTCCAAGTTCAGACTAGGTGTATGCAAATGCCTTCAGTTCACACCTAAGGATGAGATTCTCTCAAGGTTTGAGAACTGGCTAGTTGTATAGAATTTAATCTAAAACAGTGATTTTTTTTTTTTCTCTGTGAATACCCTATTTCATGAGCATTTTCTGTGTGGGGAAATACTAATAAACTCAAATACTATTGTGCTAGTTCTTTGTTCTATTTCTACAAAGGGTGGGTTCAATAAAAGGGGTTACAGAGAGCCCTTGAAATTCATTCATATGATTCATTTAAGCCTACTGGTTTGAAACCAATAATGAAAATTATGGATCTTTTCCATTCTCCTCTGTTTATCCATCTAGAAAGAATCAAAATTACTCAGATGAAAGATACAGATACCATTTTCTTTAAACTACATGTGAAATGTTACCAGTGTGATGGCAGGCTTCCCTAAAAGAGATGAATTAATGTGAAAAAAGGTCATTAAATCTGGATATCTTTAGCAGCATTATTAAGGGTCTTGAAGATGAGGCTAAATATTTTTAAAGTGGCAGATTAATGTTTTACTTCGTATATGGTAGAAAGTAATTTGCTCTAAGTAATGAGGAAGAGTAGCTTAATGTAGGTTCTCTGTTGAGTGTGTGGTAATCTATTTTGAATGTGACCATGTTAAGTCTCCTCCTTTTGGACTACATGTACATGATAACACTACTTCCTCAAAGAAGTGACAATCCACAGCATTTTCACCGATGTAATAGCCTGATGTAGATACTGATTTTCAGATCTGATGAATAATTATAAATTCTGTGAACATAAAGATATTTTAACTATCAGAATAAACAAAAAAATAATCTCAAAACTGCCATTGGTCAAGATGGACAAAATCACTTTGAATAGTGGTTGGTCTCCGAAGTTGCCTCACTCACAGTAGAGAAAATCTCAAGTAAGGTTGAAGAAAATCTCAAAAACAGCCTTAATTTTCTGGAGCACAAATATGAAATGGCAGATGCCATACTATCAGACAATCTTGGAAGTGTAAATCACAGAAAATACACATCACTTTTATCCTCCAGACTACCAAGTAGCATGAATAAGGTCCTCTGCCAGTGCTTTGGGAAGGGCGCTGCTACGAGCTGCCTTTCTAGGCTGGTTGTCCTAAAATACAGTAGGGGAAAAGCAGATTCCTTTCCAAAGGAGGAAATAAACTTAAACTTTTAGAATGAAGCTATTAGGTATAGAAGTAAATAATAAGAAGTAGAAAATAATTTAACATGATCTCCCTGAGTAAAAAAATGTCCTAGTGACTCTGAAATCGGACACTGTAACCATAGCACTATTGCTGCTGTAGTATAATTGGGTAAGTAAGCCTATTAAATGTTTTGTGACAGTGGCATAACAGCCTTTTCCTTAACTTTACTTAGCTGCTATTTCAAAACTTTCAAAACGAAATCCCTCACTTGCTATGCTCATTATTTCCTAAAAGTGCTTAGCTCATTTTTAAAAAAAAACATTTATGCTAAACTAAAAATTCTGTGATTCTAAAATTGCTTGTTGCCATTAATATGGTTTGTTTTAATTATTAGGTGGTCCAATTTCGATAGAAAATTCCTCAGTAAAATACTGATGAGAAGGTCTGCTCAAAAATCAAGAGATCGGATCCTTAATGTTTTCCATGAACTCAACTTGAAGGATGCGATTAGCTATGTGGCAGAGGTATACTTTTTCACACATTATAGCTTCATATTTCTTCATTTTCCATTCCTATTTTTTAACTAGATATCTGTGAATTACAAGCTGACATTGAAACTGAAGCAATGTCTTCATGGAGGAGTAGAGATTTGCTTCTCCCAGATATCCATTGTCTTCTCAGCTGCAAGAAACTCAGGAGTTCATAAAACATTTTTATAAATTTGTCTTTTTTCAACTCTGCTATTATGCAGCATCTGTTCAATAAACAAAAGCCTGAGTGAGTTCAGTCTAAACCTAAATAAATTCCTTACAACTGGGAGGGGAGATCCTAGTCCAGGAAATGTGAAAATAATCCACAGCAAATGAATATAAGTATAGAATCATCAAATCATTTAGGTTGAAAAAGACCTCTAAAATCATCTAGTCCAGCTTTCAGCCTAACAAATATAGCATATAATATAATATTTTTCTTACCACTACCACTTCTCAGAGACACAGTATAGGATTCTGAAAATAGCTTCTCTGCATTTCCCTCAAGGTGCCAAAGAACAAATAGCATATTCTTATAAGTGGGTACACTTCCAGAAGCTTATTTTGGTCAGTTTATACATGCAATTTTAAAAACAAAACTATTTAATTATTAGGCCTTCCCTAATGAGTGTGGGCATCTGACTCCGATAAGATTAGTTTTTGCTCTAAGTTCTTTCTATCCAGATCACCTCTGAGATGACTGCAAACAACAAAATGTCCTAGGACGTTTTGTTCTGGTAGCAAATCATTATTGCATGGTATACAATAAAAAATATAAAAGATAAATAAGGATTTAGATAAAGGCAATAAAGAACACTTTTTCATAAGGACACATAAGGCTTATCACACAATGTGATTCCAAAATATATTTTTAACATGAAACATTTAATGGAAATATCAGCATGATTTGTACAGATTCTTGCTGCAGACAGCAGTAGTTATGACATTTGCATATGGCAGCCTCAAATGATCTGCATTTTCTGGTTCACATTTTGCTCTAGATGTTTACAGCCATAATATGTCTTGTTTCTTTCTGTGACCAGGGAGAACGTAGAGGTTCCTTGGCATTTATACGTTCTCCAAGTACAGACAACATGGTGAATGTGGATTTCAATACCCCACGCCCGAGTACTGTGGAAAGCTCTGTGTCTTATTTACTGTAAGTAACTTGGACTGATTGTTTTTGTCTTCTGTTTGTTTTGTTTTGTTATCTGTGAGGAAATGCAAGAAGAAAAAAAAAAAAAGAAAGTTACAAAATTTGAAAAGTGTCAGTTACAGGGGCTTCATTCACTACTTTTTTGAACTTTAATTAATCTTTTCCTCACACATAACGTGGGCTATAGAATACTGCTATATGGTTGCATTTGGCAAACAAATTTTGTAGTAAAAGTTGGAAGATTAAACAGACAACCACATTACAGCTTTTTCATGTGCTTTTTGTTCATCAATTGCTATAGATGTGGCTAGATGTCATTTCTGTGTCTACTCCAGAAAAAGTCAGCAGAGAGACAAGGAAAAAAAGTGTTGCTTCATTAACTCATGAGTCTTTCACAGAACAGCCCTTCTTTCATGTAAATGGAGAAATAAATGCTACACCCACTTGAAAGACAAAAATCAAAACTCTTCTTAATTTTCTCATTAGGTATTTTCATTTAGCCAATTTTTACTTTTTACTTCATCTAAAAGTGTTGTTTGTATTTTGTATTCTTGTTCAGGAGAGAAAAGGCTGGACCGGTTTGCCTTGACATGCAAGCGTTAGAGCAGAGGAGGAAAAGTATTCGGGACACAGAAGATACAGTTGCTCACCACACCCTACAACAGTACCTGTATAAACCCAGGCAGGAGGTGAGAGTAAAAGAGGTTGAGAGCAGAAGGTTGGAAGCAAAACTGAGAAGGAAAGAACCTATCCCCAAAATCCATCCTTGAGGGAGATAGGCTCTTTGTCTATATTCTTTCTCACTTATGAACAGCCGTCTTTCACAGAGCTAGTGCCTTTGATTTCACTGGGGCTACTGGAATGCAGAACTCTATCCAATATAGGTTCAGGTTAACTGGGGCATACCAACTGAAGTTTCAGACACACAGGAGAGGTTTATTTAGAATAACTGTTACTCTTTCTTAGATATACTTAAAATTTGCAGATTTATACCTGTTTCATGGTTAAGAGAGAGAAATAAAAATAGGATTTTCATTAATGCCTTTAGACTAGCCTTTGGTTCATGCTCTTTTAAAGAGTTGTTTTCATTGCATGACACTGCATGCATTGATTCAGGGCTTTCAGCTGTATTTCTAAATAAATGAATATTGTTTTCCTTTCCTGATAACAGCACAAACACCTGTACAGTCGACATGAGATCATGCACAGTGAAGATGAGAAACAAGACAAGGAAATTTTCCATAGGACAATGAGGAAGCGCTTAGAATCTTTCAAGAGTACCAAACTAGGAATAAACCATTCCAAGAAGCTGAATAAAATCCACAAGCGAGACCGGGGCCAAAAAAGGGTAAAATAATTACATAAGGACCCAGATGTAGCCACCTATTACACAAAGTAAGGAGAGGGCAGGGAGGACTCTGAAGGGTCCTATGTCCTGCATTTATCTCTGTCCTATAGAACTTCATGAACTTAAAGGGCCTAAGCAAGAAGAGATTGAACTATGAAATGACTCAAGGGGCACCTTCTCACACGCTGCTTTTCTCTATGCTTTGGGACCTTTCTTCCGGGTGAGAGATTTTTGATCACTTGAAAAACAGCAGATCTTGAGCCATGCTATAACACTATTGTGAATTTCTGCAGGGTAGACGTAGCAGGGTAGCACCAGAGCAAAGAGCTTTCCATAAAATTTGCATGAAATTAAGAGGGAACTTACAGCATAGGAGAGACAAAATTCCTTTCTTTTCCTGTAGTTAGTAGGAATATAAAGCAAAAACTGATGACAACCATATTGAATCTCAAGAAAATATTAAAACAGATTTCAGGGTTACACTGCTCAATTGCGATTTGAAAAGACATTACTGCATTTGCTCTCTGATGGTGGTAGCATTTTTCTTGATTTAGTTTGTTTGTTTTCTTTTAGCGAAACAGCAATGTCATACCAAATGGAAAAATACCTTCAGAAATTTCAGTACAAGATTTTACATTAAAGGAAAAAGGTAAAAAGACCAGTGTCCTTAACTGCATTTTATGAGCTACATTGTCTATAAAGCATCACTGAAAAAAATGATATGCAATGTTGAAGCTATTAAAGAGGAACTTCTAGTTATAACTCAGAGTGGAGATCTGGTCCATGCTTAAATGCAGTGTCTGGGTAATTTAGAAGCTGTTTTTCTAGGCTACTGGATGACAAACTAAATTTGAATTGGCATTTTTACTCATATTTTTAAAATATCATGTTTATATTTTGAAAACAAAATAAAACACTGGCTACAACATAGATATCTTCCATCTTCCTTTTGGATAAACTGTAAAGAGCAAGTTTTGTTATATATATATTTTCTAATCACAGCAGGATATGTCTGCCCGAGACACCATGCCATACAAAATTCAGTCAAAATGACAATCTCATCCGAGTTAAGGTCCATTTACATGTATTTAAAAAGATCTGAATCAGAGTTGAAGCTGAGCTGAAGTTAGAATTTGAGGAGAGGTGTAGCTTTTAAAGGAACACAGAAGCTAATCTGAGCACTGGATCACCCTTCATACATCAACCTAATACATGGACCAGTCCTGGAAGTGTAATCTGAAGCTGAGTGGTTGAGAGATCATCCCTAGAAAGAGCAGGAAATAAAAACCAACAAACAAACAGATTTGACCTTTTGGTTTTGTGTATAAGGCCCCAAAATCTTTAATCTTGTGCTCTAGCCATTTATTTTGATTGGCAGGGACAATACAAGCTGGGTAGGTCATTCACTGCTGTCTTGTTGAAGAACACAATTTGTATAAGTCATCCTCTACTAGGAAAAAAAAAAAAAAAAAAAAAAAAAAGCTTGTTTGGAGGACACTCTTAACAAGTGATTTAGTTAGCGGCTTTGGTAAATTGATTACATGGCAGTAGAATCATTGATAACTTTACCAGCTTCAAAATCAGTCAGTACACTAATTCTGACTTCAGTCTAATGATGAAAATCATGTGACTTTAGTCTAATGATGAAAATGCAGTGACAGGTCTTTTTAAGGGAACATGGTTGTCAACATGTGAGCACTGAAGACATAAAACATGTCAAAGATTCACATGTCAAGGATTTGTTTCCTTCAGTCCCAGAAAAGCAGACGATTCTATTAGTCAAGAATTTATCCAGAATGTGAAATCTCTATCATAACACTGGATGCAAATGCTGAAACCTTTGTTGGGTTCCTTGAAGTAATTGGTACCTAAGCTGCAGGCTGTATCTACATGTACATACTCATTTCAATGCTACAACTGTTAATTAATTTTTGCCCTTGTCTAGATCCTTGTTAAAGATATATCTTTGCTCATGTAACAGCATCATATTGTACTTTTCTGTCAGAATTGACACAAATCTCTAATCAACTGGACTTTTAAAAATTTATTTATTTTTATTCCAGATTTGGAGTTTTCTGAAGCAGAAGAAAATAATGATTATGAAACTTTGCATCTAGGCAAAGGAGTTGATTTTCTGGCTGACGTGACCAAGCAAAATTTCACAGAAAATTCTACTGGTAAAAATATTAATTACATGAAGTTTTTTTATTTTTTTTCTCAAATGTAAAAAAAAAATAATTACTAGAAATCTTGCTGCTTTAGCTTTTTTGTTGTTGTTTTGATTTGATCTGTTTTCTTAGAATTGATATTAATGGTAAAAGATAACATATTTTGGTTATATGAAATTATGAGGAGTATCAAATTTACTACTAATAATACTGACAGAAGTTGTGAAAATGACTGCCTAACCCAAACCTAAAACTACTAATTATCTCCAGCAACATAAAATGTTATATTAGAGTTATCCTACCTCACAGTCAATACCAGTAGTTTGGAGTTGATTTCTACCCGCATTTAAAGTACTTAACTGTGATGCTTAAAGATCTGAAAAAAAGTACTTAACTTTCATGCTTCTTCTTTCATGCAGGATTTATTTCAGAATTCACATCTCCTTCAGTTCCTTACAGGTTTATAGAAGTCTCTGAAAAGGGAAGATTTACAATTTTTTCTGGAGCATTCTTGATGATTTCCTGTCCTGAATCATAGAATCATAGACTCATAGAATGGTTTGAGTTGGAAGGAACCTTAAAGATCACCTTGTTCCAAACCCCTGACATGGGCAGGGACACCTTCCACTAGACAAGGTTGCTCAAAGCCCCATCCAACCTGGCCTTAAACACTGCCAGGGATGGGACATCCACAGCTTCTCTGGGTGACCTGTGCCAGTGCCCCACCACCCTCTGAGTAAAGCGTTTCTTCCTTATATCTAGTCTAAATCTACCCTCTTTTAGTTTAAAGCCATTACCCCTTCTCCTATTACTACAGTCCCTGACAAAGAGTCCATCCACAGCTTTCCTTTTAAGTGTTAAAGGTCTCCTGGTCTCCCTGGAACCTTCTCCAGGCTGAACAACCCCAACTACCTCAGCCTGTCTTCATAGGAGAGGAGCTGCAGCCCCTTTATTATGTTTGTGGTCCTCCTCTGGACTTGTTCTAATACTTCCATGTCCTTCTTGTGCTGGGGACCCCAGGGAAAGGCTCCAAAATATCAGATTGAATGTATACCAGAGATTATATGATATGATTTGTAAGGTTTTAACATTTAGTATATTTTTAGCACTCTTGTGTCTGAATTCTCAGCATATGTAACATTATGCATACAGTGAAGAAAAATTCCTATGTCTGTACTCTTTTGACAGTCATGCTGATATAACCTTTTACCTACACCATTACAAATTTTGTATTTCAGTATGTGTGAAGACATCCAGAAATCAATCCAGGAATAAGTGGGTAGCAAGTTATAGACCTAGACTGGTTTTTACAATTTCTTTTTCTGTTTAAACACTACAAATGTGATATCTGTATTAAAAGGTTTCTTTTACATACTTCCATGGCCTGCTTCAGTGCCCTCACACACACCTTGTTCCTTTACAGATTTGGGCAGTTCACGTTTTTTCTTTATTTTTTCTCATCTTTTGCTTCTTTTTGTGGATTCAATTTGAATTTTTCTGCAGTTATTTCAAGGTTTGCTTTATTTTGTTCAGGTGATGGCTTAGTTTGTTCTTCTATTGATTTTATTTCTTGACTTTAGATATTCTAACCATAACTGCATGTTATATCCAATTTTTCTCTGTAAAAGAAATCCAAAATGACTCACAATAACCAAGTCAGAAAGAACAAACTATGTGTGTATAGTGGTGTTTTTGTCTATTTCTCTTCTTCTTCTTTTACAAAGTCGTTTGTTGTATTACCAAGAAATTATTTTGATTAATTGTATTTGTCACTTGTGAACTTGATTTTAGGCATTGATAACCCAGTATTTTCAGCTGATGATGATCAAAGCATCTACATGAAGTTCTCACCATGGTTGTCTAGTGAAGATACTGTGGTACCATCACAAAGGGCCCGAGTGCAGATCCCATATTCTCCAAACAACTTCAGACGGCTCACTCCATTCCGCCTCAGCAATAAATCAATAGATTCCTTCCTGCTAGCAGATGGCCCAGAGGATCGACCCAGATCTTTTCTCCCAGAATCAACACATATGTAATATCTTAAAAGAGATTATCACCTTTATTTTTAATCAGTCCTCCTATCAATCCTGACTACTGACAAGAAGTTTACTTTTCTGATTCTTTTTTTTTCTCAGAGCATCTCTTTCCTTCCTGACTTTTTCCTACAACTAAACATCTTCCATTTTCCTTCCGTTTGAATAATAGAACATCTTTCTATTTTTCTTCTATAGAAAAGCTATCCAGACATTAGGGGTGAAGTGCCTTGCTATTTTTACAGAAGATAAGGGTCTTGCTCTTTGTTTTGGCTTGAAAATTTTAAATGCTAAGCAAAAGATATTCCAAACACCAGAATGTTTTTGTATCCATTTTCAAGCAGCTCCACATTTCTTGGTTAGTCAGTTCTAGAAGATAAAATTAATACCCAAATTCCCTAACATGGGGTTATTCTAATTCAAACCACTTAAAACTCCTTGTTCTTTCAAGTGACATGGTGTGGGCTGTCTTCAGGTATAAGCACAGTAGGCTGAAGCAATCCAGCTGCTGACGCCAAAGCACAAGTTTTGCCTGTCCACGTCTCTCATCTTTTGCCTAAGAGGTCAGATGAGCCATTTAAAACATCAGATTCTGTTGTATTCCAGTGTACATTAGGAACAGCAACGCTAGACCAGCAATGAGCTGGTCTGATTCTCTTACTCTTAGCATGATTAGAATATGAGTTTTGACTCTATTGCTAAGATGTTTTGAGTCAGTTTTGAACACTTGGCCAGTTGCAGTGCCCAACCAGTGAAAGTGGTCTCATTGCTACAAGTACCCAATGACACTGCTAATGTACTTATTTTCTTTGCAATAAAAAACATCAGAGTTTCCGCTACATGGGTGGAGACTATTACACAGCAGCCAGACTATGAAGAAGCAGAATTCCAGTTCTCAGTATCATATCCATAAACTGTGAATTCATCTTAATCCATATCTTATTTTGAAAACAGAAAAATGTTTGGCTTTTTTGATGCAGTAAATAACTTGTTGACTCTAATATCTTAGAAAAATAAAGTGACTCTGGGTTTAGATTAATATCCTACTTGCCCTTTAATTCTTGCTCCATGAAAATTTTCCACACCATAAAATACGGCCTTCATTCCTATAATCAACACAGTCAATGCTGTAAATGAGGTGGGTCAGGTCACAGTTCAGCCATCATAATTGAATAGAACACAGGGCAACAGAGGGATTATGCAATGAAATGTGATAGTCAATTTCATCATGAATTAGCTTTTGTGGAATCCACAATCACAAATGTATAACCTAGTGTCCTCTATGCATCAACAAATAAAGGAATGTGGCAAGTTGAAGGTACTTAGATGATCAAAGTTTGTACAAAGATCTCAGGGCAAGAGTGAATAATTTTGCATAATTTTGCAAATTTTGGTTTCAGAAGAAATTCATAATCTTTGGAAAATAAATAGAAAAAGAAGTGCTCATTTTTTCTTCTGTTCTGGCTTCTACCTTGCAAAAGATGTGCTAGTTCAAGCATAATTTCAGAAAGCACATCTCTTTACTGGAGTGGCCTGTAGGTCTGAATTGGTTCTAATGCTCAATTCCTTATGAATGCATCTTTGCTTGTTTTCTAAATGATGTTTTAAAATAAATGCTAGATTAATTAAAGAACTGTGAATAATCTATATCCTGATTAAAAACTAGAACAATGAGCAGCATTCTAAAAGGAAAACTTCTCCCTGACACTTATTCACACTGAAATTCTCGCTTTTTTTTTTTTTTTTTTTTTTTTTTTTCATTTAGAAGTTAGTCATAAAATATTAGCATGTTACTTTCTGAACATTTCCTTGCTAACCTTTGTTCTTTTCCTCCATTCTATTGCCTTAATTATAGGAGACTTTATTATTCAGAGCTGCTATGTACAAGTTCTTGTACAGGCATATATATTCTTGTCCTTTGTTACATCAAAATCATTTATTTGGAAGTGTTTTGGGAAGTTAGATTTCCTGAGCTGATAAGCTGAGACCTCAATTACTCTCAGAAACAGTACTCTCAATTATCTACTTAATGAAATTCTCCTATTAGGAGAATTATATTGAAATTTCAATTAATAGGTTTTAAAAAACAATGTACATTGGAAACAAAAAGCGGAAATGTGAGGATTTGCTACATAGTTTAATGTATAAAGAAAACAGGTCGTTTTCAAGAAGAAATTGTTTCTGTAGTAAATGCTTTTCTTTGAAAAAGCACAATTTCTTTCAAAAGTTTCTGAAAGATTTCCTTGCTGAGCATTAGGACTAAATGTCTCAAGATAAACATGTACCTTAATGACCAGATGATGGCTCCGTTTCATAAGCATTTGAAGCAGGCAGCTTTCATCACACTGAACTCAGTTTTGCCTGATTCCCAGCAAGGACAGAAAGTGTAATATACTCACTTGAGGTTGTCCAGGACAGAAGTTGGGACGGGGTACAATTCCCTACCTTAAAAACTATCTTAAACCATACACTTTAATAAGACTTTTATAAAAATAGCCAAAACCAAAGCCCAATAGCCAGCACAGTAATATAGAAAGTGTATACCTACAATTTAATGTGTATTTAATTCAATTTAATGTGTATTTAATTGTATTCTTTAGGTGATATGGACCATGATGTTGAAATGACAGAATACTCCTCCTCAGATGACAAATTGCCTTCTTATGCATCTGACCAACTAAACCAAAACCAAAGTGTTTCAGAGACTCCCCACCACTTCTTTCCATCCTGTCTTCAAATGCCTTGGACACATAACTATTATTCCTTGGAAAACAGAGGGAATATATCTCTTTCTACTGTCTCTGAGTATATAGGTTCTTGTGACCCAAGCATACCTGATCTCTTCTGGGAAGCAGGTACAGATTCAAATAACAAAGAGACAGTAAACTCAGGTTATGGTTCCGAAGTTAGCTACAAATCAGAGAATTCACAAGAAGAGAATTCTCTACTTATACCTGAAGGGCTGGAAGACTCTTACATGAAGGAGCCCCAAGAGAAGCAAATTTTGCTTGATGTACAAGGAAATTACAGATCTGCGGCAGCCAGGCGTGTACAAAGTCGACGTTCTTTTCACAGGCCAAAACCTCTGCAACACCCTAAGCTTCAGAAACTAGCATCTCTTCCAACATCTTGCCATGTCCCTCCACATTCTTTGGAACAAGAGGAAACACAGCTGTGAGCCAGGGTTTATCTGAAAGGAGGAGATGAGAGAGAATAAGCTGAATAAAGGGCTTCTGTAAAAATAGAGAGCAACTTATTGGTTGGTTCATGGGGCCTAGAATGGTTGCTGTGGAATGGTTTCAGATGGAAAGATGGAAAAGAAGTGGCATCCCGTGATACCAGAAACACTGGAGCTTTGCTGCTGCATTTACATTTTTAAGTCCTCGTTCATATTGAAAGGGTGCGTAAAGAAGGGAAAATATGCCTCATTATTTTCCATGTAGACTGTTACAAAAAATATATATATTATTTTTGGAGGGCTAAAGCAAGAAGCTTTTCAAATGGTAATTATTTTTTTAACATAGAAATTGTTTATTATGCCATATATTCCCAGTAAATACATTTATTAATGAAATAGGCTGCATTTGTTGCTTCAGTAATGGAATTCAGTATTTATGATGTATGAAACTAATGTAGGAGAAGTCAATGGCTAGCCTCTTGCCTGCTAAGTCTACTCTGACTGAATGGATCAGTGCCTTTTATAAGTGCAATCTAAAGAAAAAATATTTTACTGCTCTTGAATATTTGTATTACTGAGTAGTTGCGTGATATAGACTCTGGTGGAAATCTTTGCAGGGAGGGGGAAGCCCTGGCATCTTGATATTCAGTCAAGGCCTCCAAGATGGCCATTTCTGTCATTTACCATCATTTCCTGTACTCAGTAGCATTGGACTGAAAGAACGTCCAGAAATTGTTCAGAATTTTAGCTTGTGTGGTCACAAGCAACACATTTCACATTCTTAATTAAGCTGCTCTATCTAAAATAGCCTCACTCAGATGGAATTTTAAATATTTTTCATTTGTCCTGGTGCTTTGGAAGACAACTTCCAAATACACTGTTAAATTATCTTGTAAATTTATGTATGAGCCACTTACTATAACTGGTTGGGATAATGGCCTCTCAGATGCTATTTTTTGTTTTGCCATGAGGGTTAGTGCCATGATGACTCAGGATATTTGTGTTTTAAAGTACTGTACAGAGGTAGTTTGGCTACATCTGTTTGTTAGGATCTTTTTTTTCCTTCCACATTTCTCTTAAATGACAGTAGTTAAGATTGCACTAGACTCCTAGTGTGTATGAATCTGACTTTAAATTGTTTTGAAGCCAGCTGGAGACATCAGTGAAAGTCAACTCAGATGAAGACTCAATAAAAACTAAAACTCTGAGACTTGTTGTGTATGTATAATGATACATGCTGTCCTGCTTCTGGCAAAGGCCTTTGGTCTATCTGCACTTCACCCTGATTGACTCCAGTCCTGAAACTTTGGTTTGAAATGTTCAGTGGTATAAGTTGCAAAGTTTCTGTGACATCGACAGGAGATGGGTACTTAACTATTTCTGTGAACCTAATGTGTATCTTATACCTATTTAATATGAATGTAAACTATTTGTAAATGAGATAAATCAGTTTCAGGAAGGTATCTGAATTACTAAACACTGGATCCAGCAGAGGCTTTCTTTGGTAAATTTTATTTTATCATTGGGAATTAGTGGTTGCTTCACTCTACCTACCAAGATTTTGAAAGGTTCTCTGGTTGATTCTGTGTCAGATGTCCAATTACAGATTTACACAGACACACAAAAGAGTGGAGAAATGTGTGAAAAATCGGGTCTTTTTTTTTTATTATTTTGTATTCTTTGCTAATATTGCCAGTTAGGCTAGTAAAAATTGCAGAGGTGCAATGGCAGTTGTCACATATAAGCCTAGATACATAACCTATGCTTTTAGAGACATGATTTAGAGTACTGGTTCTTTTGATATCAAACTACAAACAGCTTTTTTTAATGTGGTCATCTTGGGCACTGATACAAATCAGTGTCCCTAATTGAAAATCTCCAGTTCCCAGAGCTAGTCTTGTCAACGAGGGTCATGAGATATAAGATTGTCACCAGTAGGGATGTTAATTTTATAATTCCATAATGTAAATACATTTTCTGTGAACTTAGTGCATATGCACATACTATTTTGGTGAAGTACTTTAATGCTGTTCCAGGTATTATAATTGGAACAAGTATTGGAATTTTAGTGATCAGCACAGACATATAATAAGACCATGAATGATCCCAGATATTAGCACTTAGAAAGTGCAATGTGCCAAAGTTTAACCTCCAGTCTCATAGCATAATGCTGAAGTCCAACACTAAATTTGGCAAGATGCTGGTGAGGTATTGGCTTTAACAAAATACTTTCATTTCTTATTGCTGTTTGTGGTACAGAGGTTGTTGCTGTCTTGCAGTCAGAAGACTGGACTGTGTTTTCTGCATGCTTGTTAGAGTACTCCTAGTCTATTCATGCACAGGCTACCTCAATAAATCATTTGTAAATCCTGATCAGCACATGTGAGTTTTCACCAGATAAGTTATGCACACACAAGTGTATGCAGTTTTAAAAATAAAGGATTTTAAGATTTTTCATGTTCTTGTATGCTCTTAAAATAAATGAGAGGATCAGTAGCACTATGGTGTTTACAAAGTCAGCAGTCTCTGTGAGGAGTCCGTAGGATCCTGTTTTCTTTTAAGAGGGCTGTGGGCTGTAGGAGTTTTCACAAAACAAACAATATACCATTTCTTAACAACAGAAGAAATGGAAAGGCACTATACACGAAGTGCTCTCCATTGACTTCCAAAAGCCTTAAACCTTGTGCATATTATAAAAGGCAGTGTCACCACAGTTGAACAGTTGAAGGATAAAATGGACAATGACTTTCCCTGGAATGGTTTCCATAATTTATGAAGCTCTTATGACTCTGGAAGATGTTTTCTAGTACAGTTGCCTCTAATTTAAAGTTTTGGTTGGCATAGTTTCTCAGTTTGAGATACTATGAAAAAAGTCTCATGTTCCCAGTTTGTACACTGGGAAAATACTCTCAGCTAGAATATAATAGATTATTCTAAATTATTATTATTGTTTTTTTGTTTGTTTGTTTGTTTGTTTGTTTTTTTCCCCCAAGGCAATTGCTCTCAATGTTTACTAGGGATTGCAATTTTTTGCAAAATCCTCAGAGCTTCTTAGTCTTCAAAAGTACATGTAGATCAAATGTAGTATTATTAAAGGTAACAAAAATGAATGCAATTCTTTTCCTAGGAACACACTGATTTGTGAAGTCTGTCTGTTTTCCATACCATTGCTATAGAAGGTTGAATGGACATCACCACAGACATTTTGGGCATCTTTGCTGTTGGTTTTGTTCTCTTCCTTGTTCCTCAATTGTAATCTCCTACTTTCTGTCTGTGGTAGATGGCATTATGTTGATAAAGAAATTCTGGTCTCAGCAGCTTACATATAAGAAAAACATATAAGTGCATAAGAAAGTATATATAAGAAAAGCAGGTTATAGGACTTCATCACCTGTCTCACATTTTTTTTCTGTACTCTTTCTATGTACTTTCATACTTCATTACATGTCCTGAGG